TCGAGGACCGATGACAATACACTAATTTAAAAAAAAAAAATATAGTTTTAAAAAACTAAAACACACGCTGTCTATAGAAAACCAACCAACGCTTTTTTTCAAATTTATTTTCTATTTTTTAGTTTGGTTTTCTCTAGAAAGCGTGTTTTTTAGTTTGGTAAAACTATAATTTTTTATCATTTATTTATTCAACAACTAATCGTAGTTATCAAATACGAAAACTAAGTGACTGTTTAATACATATAACCAACAACCACAACTGCAACACGTACGTAGATAATCACGATCATCAGCACCTGACATCGACACACTACATTGTATTAAGCAAAGCAAGAGCTGAAGGCTGAAGCCCGTTCCCAAAAGCATCATCATTTGGATACCCTTATCCTAATTTTATTTAGAGTCGGCGCAGTATGTATGATTCTTCCATTCTACTCTACCATGCGTCATTTTACTGTATAATCCCTTCCTAGCCATATCCTCACACAGTCCAGCCACCTTTTCTTTGGTCTTCCTCTTCAACTCCCATGCCTAACACTTTCTTCGTCACATTTTTCTCATCCCTCTGCATGACATGTCCATATCAAGATAACCTGTTACTTTTTAACTTTTCATCCAGTGGCGCTACTTCCAGACTCCCTCGTATATACTCATTCCTGACCTTGTCCATCCGAATCACACCACATATCATACACATTCACATTTCAGCTACGTTCAGGTGTCTCTCATCCGTTCTCTTAATGTGCCAACTTTTAGAACCACATAGCGTAAAACCCGTTCCCAAAAGCATTTAACACATACCCGCGTGAAAAATTTAGCTCACAAACACACTTCATGTACACAAAGAATTATTGTTTTTAATTAAAACGGCAATGAGCATGTCCTGTGATCACGTCTCTCGTATGTGGGTAATAAAATAGTAGATTATAACGAAATGACTTAATGAAGATTATTTGATATAGCCATTGTAGCAACATGATGTCAGTGTCTATTGTTGTGGAGGCAAATAATTGTAGCGTGTGAAAAGTTGTGAACTAAATAGATCGAACTGATATAGAACTTTATAGAACATTTTCGTTGTTTTGTGTATTGTTCAATGGAAAGAATAGATGTTCAGTATTAGACTGCGATAGGCTGATTTTGATGATGTGTATTCTTCTTTCTCAGTCGTTGACAGTTTGAAAGTCTTTGTTATATAGTTCGAAGGACCATGTTGATGTATGTCCCCAATGTTTGGTCCTCTAGGGTATATTAACCATGAAAGATGTGTGAAGGACATAAAGTAATAAAAAAATGCATGTATATTATAATTATAGAATTCTTGCAAATTGTAAAGTTTTCAAAAAATATTTTTCTATATTCAGATGAGATTCCAATCAATTTTAGTCTTTACACAAATTACAAATATAACACAAACTGACAAATAAATTGAATCTTTACTAAATAGACATTCGTAGCTGCCGTGATCTTTAGGTATCCTAACGTAACCCGGACAATGCTCTCGACTGTATTAAAATAAAAGTGATCCCAAACAATCAAAAGTCGAACAGGAAAAGGTTTATCAGGTCAGCTGGTGCTCGATAAATGATAGCCAAACAGAATACCAATGTTGAGAAGCTTAAACAGTAAACAGTATAGCAGTCACACATCATTTAGAAAAGTCAAATGTAACTAATTGGTTTAAAGATAAATATTGCTCCTAGAATGTGTAACTAATGACGTTATGTTATTATAAGAAACCGGGAGTAGAACTCTTGCCAAATATTTTTTTCTTCTATACTATTATATGCAGTTTGTAGTGGTCGACTGAGTTAGCACATCCACAGTCGTCAATAAGTATGAGATTTTTTCGCAAAAATATTGCCTACCGCGCTTCTTTCCTAATTTAGTAGTAAAATAATCGGGCTCGTTTGATTAGTGATTAGTGGCCCTGACTGCTAAGCTGAAGGTCGTGGGTTTGATTCCCACCCAGGAGAAATATTGTGTGATGAGCATGACCTACTACTACTACTATCCTAAACTGATTTCGGCCACGCCGAACAACTTTAACTCCGTTCTAATTGTCGTAGGTGTGCTCGTGTGTGGCTAACATAGCCGACGCGCACAATTCGAGCATCCAGTTCAAAGCAGCGATTGTCCTCAAAGTCTTCGACTCTGGTTTTCACCAAAGACCTCCATTCCGATCGTTGAGCAGTTGATTGCTCCCACCCTGAAGGCTCAACATCGCAATTCTTCATGTGGCGCTTAAGAACATCTATATACCTGAGGAGTTGTCCGCCATGCTTACGCTTGCCTTCCTGAAGTTCCGAGAAAAAGAGGCACTTTGCTATACGTTTTTCTGCCATTCTAGAAACGTGTCGGAATTGCCGCAGCATGAGGTAAACCTCAATCCCTATGATACTGGCTTTTCGCAGCACTTTCGTATTTTGAATGCGATCAATCCAATGGATGTAGAGTATTTTGCGCAGACATTTAATGTGGAAACGGTGATGTGTCGATGTGGCGGGCGATAGACTATTAATGACTCAGAAGAGGACAGCATGTTCGGCAGCACCACCGCTTTAAATATGTCTTTGTCTTTGATGATATAGCATGACCATTTGTTCTGTGTTTGAGTGTGTAAAAAAAATAAGTATGTTACCATAGTACAGGACCTGCCTAGTTTTTGATTAGACTGCCGTGTGTGAGATGTGTAAGGTTAATATATGTTATTATTATGAATCACCTTTAATAAAGTTTCATTAATTTCGATTTCGATACACAAAGTGTAAAGATAACACGTAACATATACATAACAGCATACATATATATATATTAGACGAAACGGAAAACCCCCGAACCACGAGAGGAACAGGTCAGATTAAGTAGTATTATTAACATATATATTTTTCTGTAAAAGACGAAACTGACAGACTGAATCGATCTGACTGATTCATCGATCAACGCACAGCTAAAATCGCTGGGTATAGAGGCATGAAATTTTGCACAAATGTTTCTTAAGTGACGCAGGTGCGAAAAAAGAAAGGATTTAAAAGTAATCCACCCCCAAGGGTGCAAAATGGGGGTCGGAAATTTATATGAAACTTAGTTATTTTTGGTAGTAGCGTTTTCAAACTCATAGTAAATGCTCTTTATTAAAAGAAATAAAAAACGAATTTTTCAAAAACTCCCTTAAAAAGGGGTACAGGTTTGTATGGAAACTACATATTTTTTAAATTATATTACGATTTTGTTTATTCTGAAATAAAATAGGTGTGAAAATTAAATAAAATTAAGTTAGAATATTTACAACATTAACACTATCTATCATCGCCTACTGGTAGCGTTCCCAGAAGACTGGCAGCATTGCCACGTTGAATGGCAATGCTAATTCTCTGTGCTAGAAAAAGACCAGCCTTCTGATCACGAGAAGTGTCAATCAGTAGTTTAGCTAGCTGTTTATATATAGTACGAGCACTTGGACCCCATGACCCTAAAGTTTCGACCCCAAACGGTTCAAAAATGTAATTTCCTAGTAATTTCTGATATTTACGCCGTTTGAGGGTTTCTGCAGATGCAGCAACAGAAACTAACTTATTGATTGCAATCTCTCCGTATAATTATATTCTTAATTTTTTTTAAAATGTCTACTAGCAACCGAAATTACTAGTTTATAATTATAGTAGAGAAAATCCGCGAATCCCAAATATTTGTAATGTGGTGTCATACTTTGCACCCGTGCGACGACGGGGCGAGTCACTAGTACTGAATAAAAATTACGGAAACCAATTGCCTTATTACCAAATATTGACATAAATACCTACGTACGTCATAAGGATAGTAAAACAGGAGGAGTTTAGACGTCATATTTCCGTCAAACTCATCTTATGGAGGCGCGGCTGCAATAAAATATAGATAAATTGTAATTGATGTCGAAATAACGGCAATATTTGACACTGGCGTACCAAGTCATTTTCAGCGGGTAATAGGAAGTTGGTTAATCAATTTAGATGATGTTGTTTTTTTTTATTCTGATTTTTTTTAATTCTTTCAGTAATGGAAAGCTTCATTACCAGCGAGTAACATAGGCTAACCCTATAACCAACGCGGGCGGAGCCGCTGGCAAAACCTAGTAAAATCATATTTGAATTTGTGAAAAAAAAAAAAGAATATTGTGATCTACATAAAAAGGAAAAGGGCCTCAATTGGGCTGTATTTTTTTGTATATTTGTTACCTTAGAATTTCATCATTTTTTAACCGCTTTGGCAATTATATATCTCTCTCTCTCTCTCTCTCTCTCTCTCTCTCTCTCTCTCTCTTTCTCTCTCTCTCTCTCTCTCTCTTTCTCTCTCTCTATGTATATATAATTATCTAGAGTATTATAAAGTACACCACAGTCCACAGACTACCCTAAATCAGATTTGACAATATCCGTGTAAAGGTTCTCTGTAAGCTGTAAAAGATCGCCGTGAGCGATAAGACCGCCTATTGTAATACCATAATGTAGATGTCCATTCATTTCTGTACAATATATATGCTGTAGTGATTTACAATAAAGATGTATAAATAAAAATAAATATAAAACTTGCGTATGTAAAGATGAAATAAAAATGTATCACTAGGTTTTTAAGGTTATATTTATAATCATCATTAACGGCTGCCCGTTAGACACGCTTTTTTTTTTTTCGTTCGGAAATCCCCTCGGATACCACCTATCGGTGGCATGTCGGACTCGAACCGACTAAAACCGCACGCCGTCTCTGGTACTAATAGCCGGGGAACCAGGTATACCCTAGAAAGGAAGTCCCTGGTGCAAGCCGTTAGACACCCACGTTAGTAGAGAAGTACTCGTACCGTGAGGGAGGCCTATGTTCAGCAGCGGACGTCTTTCGGCTGAGATGTTGATGATGATGAACATCATAATCAGCCATTATGTTATGTCATCATCATCATCATCATCATCAGCCTATCAGTTATGTTATGTACCACATCTTAACTAATAATTACTGTCTTTTTGCAGCTCAACCCTCACGTGAACGACTTCCAGCGTCGCTACGTAAGCGAAGTGAGAAGATGCAGTGAAATGGAGAGGAAACTGCGATGGGTGGCCGGCGAGTTGCCAGAACCACCTCCTCCGCCCAAACCTTCTAAAGGAAGCCTTAGTCCTAGGGAGATCAACATACTTGAAGTACGTATATTAGAATATATTAGTAATATTTCTTATAAATGCGGTAACATACATATTTTTACTTATTTAAAATATTCTTGTCTTCAAAATCCCTTCAGTAACTAGAAAAAGGATGATGATCTATTTTAAAGTAAGATTTTTGGCCTTGTTGGTATATTGGTTTACGCTCCTAACTGCTAAGCCACAGTTGGGTTGGATTCCCACTCAAGACAAATACTTTCTGATAAGCACGATCATTTCTTTCGTGTCTATATATATCTTATATATAAAACTCCTCCGAAACGGCTTGACCGATTCTCATGAAATTTTGTGTGCACATCGGGTAGGTCTGAGAATCGGCCAACATCTATTTTTATACCCCTAAATGGTAAGGGTGACCCATCGCTAATTTTTTTTTGTTTTGCAATACAACGTTTGCCGGGTCAGCTAGTATATATATATATATATATATATATTTATAAGTATGCTTATGTAGAAATATATATATAAGTACGTATGTCGGCTGTCGCAGTAAAAATTAGCCTAAGTCCTTTTTCAAGACACAAACTATCCCCATTCCAAATTTTATCTAAATCTGTTCAGCGGATTTGAATTGCCTATACAAACTTCCACCCCCCCTTTTCACCCACTTAACGGATGATTTCTATAAAAACTATGCTTTTCCTTTCTCGGGACTCAAACTATCTCTATACCAAATTTCATCTAAATCGGTTAAGCAGTTTAAGCGTGAAGAGTTAACAAACAAACAGACAGACACACTTTCGCATTTATAATATTAGTATGTATATATTACGTGATTGGGACTAGAATTAATGGTCGGCACAATGTGGCCCTGAGAGGTGTATTAAAACCTCTGTATGAAGACGTTATTGGACGTCTGCTGATAGTCTTCGAATACCCGCACAGATCACCTTAAATTACAGCTAAGATAATTCCAATCTTATTAACTTATTTACGATAGACAGAAACAAAACATAGAGTCATATGTACCCTTTTTTTAAAATAGCTAGGTTACTAGTTTAAACCTAGGTGCATACTAGTGTTACTATAGTTACTATATCAATATGAACTTACCATAGACCTGTACTATTATTAACTAGCTGAGACCCGCGGTGTTACCCGCGTTTGTTGTTATAACCGCGGGCAACGCCGCGGGGCGAAGCTAGTCTAAAAAAGTAGCCTAAGTTACTCCTTATGTCATCACCTATCTGCCAGTGAAATTCCCGTCGAAATCGGTCCAGCCGTTCCAGAGATTACCCGGAACAAACAGACAGACAGACAAAAATTGTAAAAAATGTTATTTTGGCATATGTACCGTGTAAACATACATAGGCATTTAGTAAAAAGCGGTTATTTTAATATTACAAACAGACACTCCAATTTTATTTATTTGTATAGATAACAATTGATACCAGATGTTTCTATAACAATACAATTTTCTGTGTTAGTTCTACGTGCTGTCATTACTGCGGTTTTGCGGTTTGGCAAGCTGAACACCAAGCTTATCATACAATGTTGTAGAATATTCTCAAATGCCTCTGTGAGATATCGAAGCGTGATTCGGTGTAGGGTTTCGTTACCTCATGCATCGTCGAAAAGGGTTTGTTTCAAGTTTTCCTTCTCTTTGCAGTGCAATCTCGCTTTGGTGTCGTAGTTTGCTCCCTTAGTCGGTTCTTACGACACCTACTAAAATTAATGGAATAAGGTAACTGAAATTAATAGAATAAGGTGACACTCCGTATTCTTAATCCGTCACTACACGGACAATGTACTTGTATGTTAATTATTATAGATTTGAAGCCACAAGCTGTATTCGTAAAAATCCTTCTGTTATAGAAGGATCGTAGCGTAGCATGTTATCATGTGGAATGAATTCAAGTATATGAATACAAATATCACGCGTTGATGCTTATTGTGGAATCATAACCTAACAATACCCAATTGAGTACACATCTTGAACTCGTGCTGTCCCGTACTTTGATAAAAGACCGCTTGTTTCATTTCATCTCAACATTCTTATAATATAATATTTTACCAGAAATAATTACCAAGTTATACTAATATAACGTTCCCTCTTATATTTAAACAGCTGTCCCGCCTAAGTTCTTTTGCGTCTCTCAAAAGGAATTAAATTTGCCCGTTCTTGCAACATTTTTCTTTGATGCTCGGCTCCTTTTAGTGGTAGCGTGATGGTAAATATACTATAACCTTCCTCGATAATTAGGCTATCTAACACTACAACAATTTCTTAATTCGAACCGGTAGTTCTTAACTCTGCCAAACACCTCTTCAACTTTATAATATATTAGTTTACTCGTAGATAGATAGATCATCATCATCAACAGCCTTTGATAGTCCACTGCTGAACATAGGCCTCTCCTCAGAAAGGAGGTTTTGGCCTACTATACCACGCTATCCAGACGGGTTGGTATAGGGTTTGTGTCAAGTTTTCCCTCTTTTTGCAGTGCTGTTGTCCCGCGTAGTTTGCTGCCTTAGTCGCTTCTTACGACACCCACGGGATAAATAGCGGTGGTGACACTCTGTATTCTTAATCCGTCACTACACGGATGTAGATAGATAGATCTATAATAAACTAATTTTTTTCTTATTAATCTTCTTGTAAGTATCTGTAAAATAGGATTGACAGATAAAGTAAGAAATGATGAGACGAGAAAACGGTTTGTCTCAAAAGAGTATGTAGTAACAAGCACTGAGAGAAAATGATTGACCTACTGATCTAACTGTTAATCATTCTGACTGTTAAGCCAGAGGTCGTGGGTTCAATTCCCACCAACGACAAGTAATTGAGTGATGAACACGATCATTTGTTTTAGTTTATTTCAACATCATCAACAGTCTATAACAGTCCACTGCTGGACATAGGCCTCTCCTCAGAAAGGAGGTTTTGGCCTACTATACCACTTTGGCCAGACAGGTTGGTATAGGGTTTTTTTTCAAGTTTTTCTTCTCTTTGCAGTGCTGTTGTCCTGCGTAGCTTGGTCCCTTAGTCGGCTCTTACGACACCCACTAGATGAATAGGGGTGGTGACAATCCGTATTCTTAATCTGTCACCACACGGACAATTACAGACACGGACAAAACAGTTTATTTACATGTGTGTATTTTGAACCATACTAGTTATGATTGGCAGTCTACGAGTAGTTACCATACCAAAGCCTCTGCTTAATTTGGGGTCAGAAGGCCGAGTGTGAAATATCCAAATTTTCTTTTATTATTATTAAAATAAAATAATAACAGAGTTTTCAAGTTACGACCGCGTTCCAGAAGATAAGGCGTGGTTAGGCACCCACAACGTGGTCCGATGACCTGGTGACAGTCGCGGGAAGCCCTTAGATGCAGGTAGCACAAGACTGTTTGTCGTGGCGAACCTTAGGCGAGGCCTATGTCCAGCAGTGACGTTTTCCGACTGAGTTGATGATGGTGATAATAATACTAAAATGCTGCAATGTTTTAAGTAACTAAAGTCAACAACTTCGTTCTTGCGTTATCGTAAGTTTATCACAAGTCCACGTGTTGCAAACAGCAGTACTTAAAGCATTAATCACTCTACGTGCAATAATTGATTAAGCGTCCAGGGTACTAAACTGCATTTATTACGTATTACGTAACGTTTACATTACGTTCTGTGAGGTTATAAAATGTTCGATAAAGCAGATAAAAGATTATCTGTTAATACCATATTTGGACATCACTCTGGCAAATAATATGATTTCTCAACACAGAAAAATAGATAGGTAAAAGTAAGAAAAATCATTCATTTTGGTAGAACGAGACAAGTGAACATGTAAATTTGATTTGTGAGTGGTATTCAGGTTTGGGAATTTGGTTTTCTTCTATTAAGGAAATTTTACTCTGGTGTGTATTTTAGGGATTCTGGATTAGTTTCAAACCTGACGAGCATTAATTTAGGTGCTTCTGCCATACATACTATAGAAATCAAATATAGCTCACCTTGGACCCGTAATATTTTGTGGTCGTGGTGCTTCTCTATTTAAAAGGGTGTATGCCTATTTTACTTCATTTTGTCTCCCTCTTTGGTAAGGAGGGAAGTGGATTAACTGTATTTCCAACTCTTCCAATTTTCTTCGGGACTTCCCGAGTGTCATAACTCGATGTGTTCGTGGGTCACTACTGTGGATCCAGGTGTACAGGAGTTTCAGTGGTGGGCGTGTGGGTGGAATTAGACGTAAGTTGAGGACCGAGACGACATTTCGGGTCGGTGAAGCGCCTGAATCGTAATAAAACTGGATTTATAAATATAAAAAACCCAGTAAATAGGTACTGCTTTGTGGCCTTTTCACTAAAAACCTACATCTAAACTTCTTGTACCAACAAATATACTATTTTTTATGCTACATATAACATTCGAAGTTTTTAATTTAGAAAGTTAATTCCAAACACTTTGATTATACTATAGTTCAACCACACCCAAGCAGTCTATACCCCACCGTTTTATTTCTTTAAACGTAAAAAACTGTGAAACATTTTACTTATCAGACGAACCACAATTTGGTTCCCCTCTGTAACTGAAGTGGACTGATTAGATAACTAGATCCCAATTTAGCCTCAACATTTCTTCCGGACCATGTTTCCGGATGGAAACAAATGCTCTGTCTGAAAGCAAACTATTTTTCAATGGAACTAAATTAATGACCTGTCGAACTGAGTTTTCATAAACAGATATTTTCTTCACAAGAACCAAATCTAAACAAAGTAAATAGGTATTTAATTCATCGTCAACATTGATTGATGAAATCACTAAATTGCCAAACAATTCAATATCTGTAAAGTACGAGTATCATCGGTTACATAAAATTATTCTCAAGATGATTGACGAGAATCATGCATATTATAATCCGGAAAATTAAAACTGATGAACGAAAATAGGTGTTCAGAATGCAATTTGTCTTTAATTGACAAATATGTTTAGAATACGCTTAAAATTTACATAAAATTAAATGTATAAATAGTATTTTAAACGTTATACTCCTATTATTTCAATTGTAGAGGTCTGAGTGTAGTCAAGGTTGTTTGAATTAGATCTCCCTCGACACTGAGTGCATTTAGTGTAGGGATCACAGCATGCCGTTATTGAAATTTATATTGCTCTTGCGACTGGAACCTCAGCTGTGTCCTTTTAAAGGAAGTTAATCCCGACGGGGATCTTATTGCTAGCTGGAAACTGTCTGTGCCGACATATTGTGTACATCAAAGTGTTCGAACCTGGTGTTCTTATAGATTCGATGTTACAGTTAAATAAACATAACTAGTAAAAAGCGATGCTTTAGGGGATTGATAATTAATTACTCATTATCTATATGAGCTTATTAAAAAAATCGATACTAATTCTTCAGTTTTCTAACAGATGGCGCTAGTAGATAGTCCACATGTCTTATTGGTTTTATAATTATCGGCAGATGGCGTTAGTAGTAAGTACAATAAAATTGTAATCAATAAAACATATTGTCTTCTATTTGTTTTAAATGCATATTAAATAATATATTTATTATCGATAACACATTTAGACATGAATTGATATTACTCTGCCAGAGGCCCAACCTAACAGTTTTGATGATTTCTCAGTAAAGTGTACCACTACATGCATAAATTGTAGGATAGTGTTAGGGCTAACATCCTATTACTTACACGATTAAAGTTACAAGCTAGAAGCAACAACCGTCTGGTTTTCGATTTTAGTATATATCATAAAATGTACTACACGAGGGGTAGAGGAATGACAACTAAACTAACAATGAAAGGCTTTTAAAAGCGCAATGAGTATGTGAAAGCATAATAAAGCATAAATCTCTCTATTTTTGGACCACCTAACCCCCTCAGGATTAGACTAATGCGCTGATAACATGCCATATACACGGTATGATTACTTCTATAAAATTGTAGGTTATGATGTACTTTAGCCCAACGAATTGACGTCACCATAGCAGTATTTTATAGTCTGAGTCCTGAGTAAATAAGTTAGTCAATATGAATAGTTTTCCTTGGATAGTTCAGTCTCACTAACCTATACAACTCAATATGGTAGCGTTGGCTTGATGCTGCAGCCAAACCTTGTGCTTGTATGATTTTTTTATTTGTTTCATTTTTCAATTTTTTTTCCCAGGAAAGAATCGACTACATCGAATCAGAAATCCAAGAAATCACTCGTAACGCGCGCAATCTGAAAAGCGATTACTTATCTTTGATAGAATTCAGAACCCTCATTGAGAAGACACAGACTTTCTTCCAAGATCACAGTGCACAAAGGAAAATTTCAGCTTCAGTACAGATATACAACAATGATGCGGTATTGGGACATCTAGGGTTCATTGCTGGAGTAGTAGCAACACACAGAGTACCGTCCTTCGAGAAAATGCTCTGGAGAATATCACACGGAAATATATTTTTCAAACAGGCACAGCTTGAAAAACCTCTAAAAGATCCTGTAACGGTAAGTTTTTTTATTTTTACACAAAGTTATAAACAAACAGGCACGTCGCTTAGTAAAATTAAGGCTATCGCAATGAAATCTAGTATTGCAAGACCTTTTAATATACATATTTATAAATAACGGATGGACAATAGTACTGCATTTATTTAAATGGTAACCTTGTCAATTGCTATCACGTCGAATTGTCCTACGATATTTTGAGACCGTACTGTAGCTGTAAAATTCCCAAAGATTGGACGTATGTATAATAAATAACATTTAATTCTTAACCTTTAAGTCATAATATCCTCTATATTCTTGCTAATAATCTCAGACCAAGACGAAACTGCCTAGAAGCAATGGTCATAACTTTTGAATTTAAAAACAACTTAGAAACTTAACCTCGAAATCTTCTATTATTATATTCTATCTTCTTCAAAGCAAAGATGGACTACATCTTTGCTTTGAAGAAGATATTTACTGCGATGTGTAAATCTCTCCTTAGGCTCCAGGTTATAAAGTTTAATTTACATTAGTAAATATACCAAGTTATATCTCTTACAATAATTTACTCACATTATTCACGCTAAGTTCATTAGTTTAAATGACGTGTTTATTGATTTTATTGTTTGCTAGCCCCGTATTTTGCGCTTTTATTTGATGAATAAAACACAGTTTTCGAAGTATTCATTTGTGTATTCACTTTTGTGAAATATCAACAGTACTTCATTGAGTGCTGCAGAAACTAATACAGCTTGAACACTTCAAGGGTTTGCAAAGGGAAAAGCATCTCCATCCACATAAGACATCCATCCAAGATATACTTTTTACTAACCAGAAGCCGACTTCTAAAATTAGGGGTAGTTTTCAATTTCGTCAGTATTTTTTTGTTTGTTAACTCAGAAATCCGTCATTTATGGATCAATTGGGACTATTCTTTTTATTTGGTGAGCTATATTTCTCCTTTAGTCCTGTTGAAATTTAAAGAAAAAATACAACCCCTAAGAAGGAACTATTAAGGAAAGAATACAATTTAAAATTTACAATTTATTATGATGCCTTGAAGTCGGAAATGTTTTTTTAAAGATTAATTATTATACCTGCAACTCAAAAGAGGCCCCTCCCCGGCCAAAGTTTGAGGGACGGGGGGGTCAATAATATCACTTACTGAGTAAAAAGCAACGACAGTATTCACACATACTCTCCCGCAACACACATACACACACATACACACACACTCACATACACACACACACGCACACACACGCGCACCGACCAGTCATGTATACGCTACCACATGTATTTGTAGATGTATATTTTGTCGTTCTTTTTTTCTTAAATTGTTTTGCCTTCTCCTATATATACAATATTGACTTGCCTCAGACTATGTTTTTGACTGTAGAATGGAAGCCTGGTTATCCATAGTACAGGTCTTTACATAGTTTGGAAACCAGCTCCCAATGATTAAATAAATAAATATTGTGTATTTGTAATATTGCTATGTATATGTTAGAAATAAATTATTATTGTTATTATTATTGCCTTACATAGATTTTCTATGAGGCCATGGTCTAATTTCCGCGTCTTATATAGTAGTATTTTCTTGACTGTAGTTAATTCTGACATACATAGTACGTAGAATACTAATACGAGTATTGAAATTAGAATAGCATTCTTGAAAGATTATGTTATTAATGTTTGGCGACCGGATGGCGTAGTGGTTTATGATACGGACTGCTTCTCCAAAGGTCGCGGGTTCGACTCCCGCTCAAGTCAAACATTTGTGTGCATGAACATTTAATGTTTAATTTGTTATGGGTGTTTCTATGTCTAATATTTATGTATTTACAAAAAAAAACAGTATATATGTATATTTATACCAGTTGTCTAGTACCCATAGTACAAGCTCTGCTTAGATTGGGACTAGATGGCGTTGTGTAAAATGTGTTAGATTATTATTATTATTTATTTATATTGAACGGACTTATTTTCAATAAAAATACTCACCTCTTCCGTTTTCTAAATATTTTTATCTTCAAGTCCTGAATCATATTCGATACCTACATTAGCTAAACATATCTGTTGCCAATAACTCAACGTTAAATAACGTATTATCTATTTCTGTTCCGCATAACCACCGCATAAACAGTAATAGTCCACAAATGTCAAATCAAGTTTTATCTTTTGTTGTAGTATAGTGCAAAATAATTTATTGTTCTATTCTATATGGGGATTCAGAAATAAATTTGCCTTCATGAGTTATGGGCCTATTTAGCTATACATATATGTGTATGGTGTCATCATAAGCTATTCTTTTGTCTGCAGAATAGATGTTCAGTCAATTGGACAGTCCCACTGCTGTGAAATAGACATGTTTCAGCACATATTCAAACTGCCTCAGTGCCTAAGCGACAGCTGTCCTGAGGTCTCGGGTTGATCGGAACAAGTGTTTGTATGGTCAGCTAATATTTGTTTCGGAGTCTGAGTGCTTTCTGTGTATGTATTTACAAAAAAAAGTATATAAGTATTCTATCAGTCAATCTAAGTTTCATAGTACAAGCTCTGCTTAGTTTGGAACTAGATGGCGTTGTGTGTCAGACGTCTGAATTTTTTCCAAATTATGGGCTGGCTTGATGGGAGCGATATCATGGCTTCACCTGTATTAAGAAAATTTTTATATGCTTCTGAACGAGTAAATGGGTCTTCGCCCACCCCCCTGCCCTCCAATTCTAGGGAAACATTAATATCTCTTAATTTTCAAACGTACGTGAGCGGCGTTAGTCACTTACCATCAGAGGGCTGAGGGCAAGTTTATTTCACATCGACCCGCTCTTGACGGCGGCTGTGGAGATTTTAGTGCAGGCCAATCTTAGCGCTTCTACTCGAGAAGTGAAATAAACTCGCACTATTTCACATTAACTGGCTCTCGACGACTAGCGCGTTCGGCGCTACGATTGGCCTGCACTGAAATCTCCACCAATCGCAACGCTAAATGCGTTCGCCGTCGAGAGTTAGTCAATGTGAAATACACTTGCACTCAGCCTTCAGGTGACCCGCCTGCTCGTGTGTCACCAACATCATAAAAAAATACTTATCTGTCCTTTTTATCATTTTTGTTACATCTTTACTTTTAAAGGTGGTGGTAGCTTGTCTCATCGTACAGGCGTAAAGTTTGCTATCCAATGATTTTAGCTTCCAACTGTTCCGCTAATAATGTCATGAGCATTTAATTCATTTGGAGAGGTCCTGACACATTTTTTTTTAAGTATATCTTGTGTTTTTTATGGTATAATTAAGTATTCTGGCCAATTTATCTTAAAGCCAAAAAAAAATAGGTAAGATTACAAAAAAAAAGTATTATTGCGTAAAAGAAATTAGTTTAAAGTAAAAAGGACTAAATCAATTTTAAATATACGACGACGAATAATATACGAGTACTCTCAATATGAAACGCAATTGCAATTGCTATTAGTTTTACATTACTTAAAGATTTTTTTCAATCTTGGCCTTATAATTATGCAACTAAAGACATACTAATAATAAATTCATTAATTTAAAGTTACCGTATATGATGCCAATAGTATGGCAACCCACAATTTATATACACGTAGCAGGGCAATACTTTTATGAACACCTATTTATTTGATTGACACTATTCAGGTGTGTTAATGACGGTATTTAAAAACACATCAGTAACTTATCAGATTGTCACCGTGTTAATTTCGTCGTAAACAATATTTATATTGAGCTGAAAAGAAAATGAATGCGCATGGCCAAACAATACATCTGTAAATGACTTTTTATAAATCGTACGATATCTTGAATAAATACCGTAGGGACTAGTTTAAAAAGTTTAATTTGAGTTTCGTTCGTTTCGATCCATCCTTCAAATCCCGATTGGTTGAATATAAACCGAAAGTAAAAGTAGTCTACAGTTGATTATTGGCTTTTCAATGTCACTGACCTTTTGTTACAACCTTTGACAAGTTGTCCTTGACAAGTTTTGAAGTAACCGTAAATATCGTCATCTTATCTATCTATCTATCGATGATGTGACGAAGTTAACGGGAGTAAGCTGGTGAATGCGTGACGAGAGCATTACGAATAGTGTGAACGGGTGAAGCGAACGGAAGTTGAGAGAGAGAAAGAAGTTAGTGAAGATAGAAAGAGAGAGAGTTACGTTTCGTATATTACTGTAGGGGCAAGAGAGAGAGGTGCGAGCACACATTTTCTTTCTCTATGAGAGTGAGAAAGAAAATGTTTAACTAAGAAGTTTTACTTCAGTCGTGTGGTCTAAAGCACACTCTTTTATTTTTTCTATATTTTTCTCTTTGGGTTCTTCGTACAATAGTATGAAGCAAAATGTTGTAGCAGACTGTCTCAGTGGTAAAATATTATTTTCTCAATTCGATGATTCATAGCCATTTAGGTTCACGCAAGGCTCAAGTAATTTAAAGTAAATGGGAAACTACAAGTGGTCACCGGTCATTAACCCTGTCTTCATATTGATTTTTCTAAACGACACCCATTGCTAAGTTTTTTAAAATACTAAGGTAATAAACGTTCATGAAAATGTATAAACGTTGGTGAATAAATCACGCTACGAAAATTCGGGTGGGTGACCCCGTTTGTGGTGTCCGCAGCGATTACGCGAACAATCGATCAATATAATTGATGGTTACCTTGCTTTCATGGCATTTATTCATACGCCATTAATATTGCAGATGAAACTTGTTTTCTTGTATAATCAGTGGTCTAAGTCCGACTCAAAACAATTAATGCAAATAAGCTGTATTCTAACTCAACATTGTGAGTCCAAGCTCTATAAGAAATAGTCCTAGTTAATAAATACCTTTTCAAAATAATGGATAGAAATATATATTTAGCTGTTCCAGTCAAATTTGGTTGTTAGCGATGATTGTAGATTTCTACTCTATAGTAATAACGTTGATATTGCACTAAAAGTAGAAACATTAACTGTCTACGAATATAAACAAATCTTTAAGTATGAAAGTGGTATTTAATAGGACTCATTGTAATTTGTAAAAACTTTCAGGGCCACGAGCTTCTGAAAACAGTGTTCGTTGTATTCTTCCACGGTGAGCAAATCAAGCTCCGCGTCAAGAAAGTCTGCCACGGTTTTAAAGCCACGTTATATCCTTGCCCCGCCACATATAAAGATCAGCAAGACATGTTATCAGGCGTTGTTTCTAGAATCAGAGACTTGGAAATAGTAAGTATCCTTTTATTTTTTGATTATCCGCGTATACGGTTACTTTGCAGTTACACTTGTATGAGTAACATGCTGTAACCATGTTTACTCGCCTTTTCTCAAATCATCATTAACAGTCTTTAACAGTCCACTGCAAGACATAAGAGGTTTTGGCCTACTATATTACGCTGGCTAGACGGGTTGTTATAGGGTTTGTGTCAAGTTTTCCTTTTCTTTGCAGTGTTGTTTTCTCCCTTAGTCGGCTCTTACGACACCCAATGGACGAGTAGGTGATATTCCGTATTCTTAATCCGTCACTACGCGGATAAAACGAATATAATGTTTGTTTAATATTTGTTCAACTAAAACTACAAACCATTTCGCTGTATCATATGTATTAAATTGATATGTCTTAAATTGAAGTCACTAGACTAGATAATCATCCCCAGATTGTATAGTGTTTAAACAGTGATTAATTATATCTGAAAGCATAACGCTTAGTAAAAATAGACACAAATGAGATTTTGAGTGGCAGATGTTCCTGCCCTACTCTCAAGCCTTAGACGAAAAAATTAAGTATCATAGTAAATGTGCAAAGATTAGAATTATTGAAATATTTTTTGGCTTCTAAATGAGCTTTGATGAGCATTGAACTTACTAAACCGTTCGCCATCAGTTAAAGCTTTGAGTACGACTTCATCAGCAATTAATTTTAATAGTTAAGTGCATCAATCTTTTACACAAAGGACTCCATTCCGTCTTAATCACAATCTAAAATACGTTTCTGATTAAAACATCTTTAATTCTAAAATCTTATTTTAAATCTAAATTCTATAATTCCAGGTCCTGGAACAAACAGAACAACACAGGCATTTGGTGCTTGCGAACATTGCGAGAGATCTGAGTACATGGATGGTCGTCGTCCGCAAGGAAAAAGCTATTTACCACACCCTAAACATGTTCAGTATGGACATAGTGAAGAAATGTCTTATAGCGGAGTGTTGGGTACCAAAGAAAGACGTTCACCTGGTAAATAAAGCGCTGGATGAGGGGGTGGTAAGTTACATCAGTATTTCTACTAAAAATGTGTCCTAGAAACAAATTTAACTTTTTTTCATTGAGGTCAAGCTAAATCTGTCGATCTGTTTGTTACCATGATACTACTAAATCTCTAAACCCACTTGCCATGAAACTTTAAATGCTTATCAAGACCGAAATAAACTTCAAGACATAAATTACGAGATTAAAATTACAATATAAGTATTTTTTTTCTAGTTTTCAATATTTTAGAAAAGTCAGTATCACGTTCCTGATATCCTTATAGCTCTCAGATACAAGTATGTAGACGTGGTTTACACTTACCATTTTCTGGACCATAAGAGAGTAGTACAGTTAGTTTCTACTTAAATCGGAGACTCCACCTTAGTATTATAAACTTGGCAATGAAGCTAAAACTAAATCAGTTGACGGTCAAGCGGCAGGTGTTACTTTTAGTATCAGTATTAAATTTAACCATTGACGTACATTCTGGGTCTACCTCAGTTTTATGTTCCATAAAACTACCAACGACTATCCTTTTATTGTCTAGTTATAAATATAGAAAAAATCCCGCAGATTTAGGATGTTCAAACAAAATGGCGTATATTCAGAAAGCAAAATACATTCTTACAGAAGGCGACTGGTAGTCCCATCCCATCTATTCTGCATTACGTCCCCACTTGTGAAACACCACCGACGTTCAACAGAACCAACAAATTTACCAAAGGTTTCCAGAATCTTATCGATTCATACGGAATCGCCAGCTACAGAGAAGTAAATCCAGGTACTTATGAGGTTTCGGTACAAAACTGTTTCAAAGTTATTTACAAATATGAAAACGCGAGATATGATAATCACAATAAACAAGTTTGGAGAGATTCAATACGCGTTTTTGTTTGTTCTAGCTCTGTACACCATCATTACATTCCCGTTCTTATTCGCTGTCATGTTCGGTGATGTGGGCCATGGTATTCTTATGACGGCATTCGCTGCAATATTAGTAATATTTGAAAAGAAATTCTTGCAAATCAAAACAGATAACGAAATATGGAATATATTCTTTGGTGGAAGATATATTATACTGCTAATGGGTATATTCTCGATATACACTGGCTTGATATACAATGACATGTTTTCAAAGTCATTAAATATATTTGGAAGCAGCTGGCGGAATGTGTACAGTGAAAATATGCTACCTAACCATTCGATGTTAGAGCTGGATCCTAAGACAGCTTATATAAATACACCTTATCCATTTGGAATGGACCCTATTTGGCAGGTAAGAAGAAACACAATGAATTACACTTATTTAATATCCCTCTAATTTATTATTAAGACAATCGTTATATGAAAGAGTTATATAATATGTAGATAATGCTGTGGGTTATTTTATCCATTGATATTTTCTATATTCTATATGAAGAAAATTCTTTGTACCTTTTATTGAACAAATATGGCGCACGGAAGCATATTTTATTTAGAGTTTTCAATGTTTCCGCGTAGAAGAAGTACTGAAAGCTAAAATGTTGAAAATAACAATGGCTATACAAAACTATAGGGGTCCAGGTTCAGTACAAATTTTGCCCTGTCATGGTACAAAAGTCTTTAAAAAGAGAGTCAAAGTTGTACTAGTCGAATAAGAATACAAAAATCGAAATTTGACAGCTAATTTAAACTTTTGGTAAAGCAATTAGATACCTAATTAATGTTTTCTAAAATCGAATTAGATACTAAGAACTACAATAGTAATATTAGTCTTAAGGTCCTTTTTTTTGTTTCAGTTTGCTTCGAACAACATAATCTTCTTGAACTCATTTAAAATGAAATTGTCGATAATATTCGGTGTTATTCATATGGTGTTTGGTGTTACAATGAGTGTGGTAAACTTCAAGTAATTACTGTATTCATAGAATTTAGATCTTGTAGTATTTGGCAACGTCACTGATGACGTCATTGATAATAGTATTCTCGTTTCACAGCTTTTTCAGGAAATCAGAGATGATATTGCTGCAGTATGTACCTCAAATACTGTTTCTGTTGCTGCTGTTTTGGTACCTTTGTATCCTCATGTTTATGAAGTGGACCATGTATTCAGCTTTTTCAGAAGGTAAAAAGTTCTAAAATATGTGACTGTATGCATTCATGTTTTGGGTAAATGGTTATAACCAGAGATTTAAGCTAATTTTTTTTGGATTTTTAGGTAGAAAATATTTTAAGGTTGTTTCTGTATACATCATACTTACATTATTAAGGTATATATCATGTTTAACGCGACAAGTTTTGGTCCTAATATAATAATAATTTTATTTATTAAGAGGTATTACGGGCACTTGTATCGCGGTATATATAATTTAAATTTAATTCCCAAGAAAAAATTATCACTTAATGTTGATACCAACAAATTAATCACATCTGATATGTCTTCCAGATCCCGCATATGGTACATCTTGCGCACCATCAGTCCTTATCATCTTCATCAATATGATGCTCCTAAAGTCGTCTGTAGATAACCCGCCGTGTCGTGCGTTTATGTATGATGGACAAAATGAACTCCAGCGGACATTTTTAGCGCTGGCATTCTTATGCATACCTGTTATGTTGTTGGGCAAACCAGTGTATAAGATTATGGTGGCACGGAAGCGAAAGGTATGATATCCTTTATTTTCTTATTCTTATGACACTAAAACACTTACAGAAAAATGGTATTGAGCAATTCCTTTGTGGCTTTTAACCAAGTGAGTGAAGCTGCGGGATATCCAGATTCCCCTCTCCCCTTACCATCAGAGGAGAGTGCAAGTTTATTTCAAATCTACTCGATCTACCGCGTTCGGCACTGCGATTGGCTCGCACTAAAATATCAACCAATTGCAGTACCGAACTCGCTCGCTGTCGAGAGAGAGCTGATCTGAAATAAACTCGCACTTGGCCCTCTGATGACTCGTGTGGTCGTTTGTTCTCTATAAAAAAAAGTCAAAGAAAAATTCAAGTTTAGCAGAAGTTAAGTCATATGATTCATATTTCAACAGCAGCAGTATCAAGAGACTGTGGAAGATGGAGGTACCCCTGAAAACAACGCTCATGGGAAAGAAAACATGGGCGAAGTTCTAATCACACAAGCCATACACACCATAGAATATGTGTTAGGGGCGGTGTCACACACGGCTTCGTACCTGCGGCTTTGGGCGCTGTCACTTGCTCATGCGCGTAAGTTCAGAAATGTTTAAAACAAAAATTCTATACTTTAATTAGTACATGGCCAATACGACATAAAATTATCCTTTCGTCCTCGGCGTCAAACTTAATAGTCAAACTGATTTGACCACCAGGAATTTTAACATTCTTTGTGATCATACTATTTAATTTATTAAAAATTTACACCAGTAATAGTCTTGAAATAAAATTGTACAGTTATAGCCAAAACTTTTGTTTAACGTAATTTATTTAAAAAGTAACCTACACCTATATCGCTATGTATAAATTCCATTTGATACTTTATAATTAATTCGTCTCGGAATATTTATTGATATTATTATAGTGAAATTTATAGAGAAATATAATGACAAACAATTAAATAAACAAACATTGAATCAGATATTGAGAATTTTATAGTGTTTAATATCATTGGTTAATAATGGTTAATTGGTGTATAATATCATCACCTATGGTTAAACCCCATAAATAATGACATTGTCTTTTAAATAAATGGATTTCCTTCGTTAGCGAGAATTTAAATGTAAAATTTCACCTTTGACACTTTATCTTATTTTTCCAGAATTGTCAGCGGTACTCTGGCAGCGGGTTCTTCGTATGGGTATGGGAACCTCATTGTTAGCGTCAATTAAACTATACGTCGTGTTCGCAGTTTGGGCGTTCTTTACGCTGGCAATACTCGTGCTCATGGAAGGACTGTCTGCCTTCCTACACACATTGCGGTTGCATTGGTAAGAGCTTTATATATTGTTAAGTAATCTGTTTGTTCAGGTTTACTACAATTATCAAAAAAGATCAAATTTTAATTGTTTTATATGGCCTGATATACTATTCCATTGTAAACTTGTTAACAAATGTATGAATTCTTTTGAAGACAATTACTCTGAACAATTCGCGTTTCGAAGCTAAAGTTTGTGACAACTTTGTGAAACCAGATTTTGACTGATATGGATAGAGAAATTATTCAGTCCATAATAAAATTTCTTATTATTGTAAATAATTCCAGGGTCGAATTTATGAGCAAGTTCTACGAAGGTCAAGGCTATGCCTTCACACCATTCTGTTTCTCCGACATTCTGGAACACGATGACGAACCCATAACCGTGGAAAGCAACGGCGGACTACACGAGTGACAAGACTAGTAATAAATAGCCTGTCAAGTATAATGGGATGGAGTTACAAATACGATATGAAAACAGCTGCGTTTTAACAATATAAAGAAGTTCACGAAAACGTGGTAAACTAGGGATGAAAGAAAACCAATTTAAACACATGGTCCCAGAACCATGCCTTGAGGAACCCCTTTATAAAATACGATAAAAACGCGACTGTCTTCAATTAAAAACAAAAAGAGCTTCACCAAAAGTTTCTGAGATTAATTACGTACAAACCAACTTTTTAGACACTTACACATAAAATTTTGTAGTATCTTGAATTCGTTGCTAGATTGTTCAAAATTGCTAATAGATAAATAATTAAAATTTTATTAAATTTTATTAAGATTAAAATAAGGGCGGGAGGCTTTTATTATTGAACATAATAATTATGGAATTGAATATTCTTTATAATTATAATAAAATTGAAATTGTGTTCAGTACTAGACGAGTTATATTACGTCCTAAGCTGTCTTCTAGCGTTATTGTTTTCAAATATAGCCTTAAATATACCGCTGACGAATTGACATAAACATTACTATGTCAAAGTCTTTTAGTACAAACCTAAAACAAAAGACAACATTAATGAATGTTTGTATAACTTATATTTTGTATAGCATTAAACGATGTGATAATATTCACGTATGAATCATGCAATATATCCTTGAATATTTAGCTTAGAATAAGTAAATGTGTATATTTTTGTTTGTGTTAAGATGAAAAATTATTTAGATATACTCACACCGATAAAAATTATTAAGAACAATTCAATCGAAAGCTTTACAATCATTAAAGTCTCTGCAAGTAAAATAAAGCGAATCCTAAACAAACGTACAATCAATATTTAAATTTAGTGTTCAAGAGCATTCACATCCATGAATGACTTTTTAGTCCTGGTGACCGTACTAATAAAATGGCCTATTAATCACATGACTCTGAAAAGAAACATCACTGAATCCAAAATCCTATTAGATTTGACAAAAAATAATAAACAGTGTCCTGCAAAATTGTGACGAAACGCTTTTGACAACCGTTTAAACCATAATTATGTTATCCTCGTTAGTCCTTATATGAATTATTCTACTCAGTTCAGACTTGATATTTGAGTCTTTGAATCGTTAGCAAGAGTAACCACCTAACATACTAATTTTATTACAAAATATTTTTTACCATTTTTTGATATCACGACTGTGAGATTTTGAAATCTATAGGCATAATAAACAACAGCTTTAGTAGTTAAACAATAAAGAAAGTACGGGTTTGTTTCGTTTAAAGGGCATAGAAAAATAGATCAATTATTAAAACATTATTAATTAAATCATCAGGACTTATGGGGTGAAGGTTGCGGTTTAACATGAGTAATGACAAAATGTAATGTCTTGCATGTAGGTAATCACTAAATGCGCCTGTGGCATTTTATGCGTGATACGTGTTTGTTAAAACAAGAGAATATATGATAAGGTGATGGTTACAACTCGCCAGTTAATAATTATATTTCTAGCCAAAGAGCTCTTTAAATTTTAATGCATGTTTGATGAGCAATCGTTTCTCGTGTAAATATTATAATAGTGCCTTCATAGCTATTACTAAGTATTTACTTTTTAATAAAATAAGGAATGTTCAAACTTATAATGCCATTATTGAACAGAAGTTATGATGGATAAAAAATATATTTGTATAGTGAAAAATATGTGCGCTTCAAGTTTAGTCTGTCTCAAGACATTTCTGTCTTAGTTTCTCGAACTTATACTGTGTGTTACAATTTCTGTCTGTTTGTTAAGAGATATTTTTATTCAAATTTTCCTTCTACAATCTAATTATCTCATCTGGGTTATTAGATGCTTCTTTAGTTAAAGGCAAAAATTGCGATTGATAATCAGACAGACTTTCCTTGTCGAATTTAAGACTTCTCTTTCAATTCATCTTCTATTTCAAAGTTTATATTTTTATTCAGTTGAATTGTCTCCCTCAATCACTTATAAAATTACCATTTTTTAGACAACACAAACTTTTTTACTAAAAACAATTTTATATTCAGGTTACTGCACGAGTTATTGGCCATTATTCTTTGCCATTACTTTAATAAAATATCAGAAATGCATTACCAAGTTTGATTGTTTGTTTTACCAAGTAAAATTATTTGGTGACAAATCTTTCTTGTCGTATTGGGCAAGGAAAATGCTGAAATAGTTAAAACATCATAAAAGTAGGAAAATTAGATATATGTATTACATTTGGATATAATCCCAAAATTAATTATTAATGTAACATTATCATTTAAATATTTATTTTAATGATCATTTTATTTTTATGTAAGTTATATTAATTATATTTGTTACTAACTATATCGGACCAAATCGTGGCCTTTACGTATTGAGAGACATATCAAATGTGAGTGAAATTAAACACTACTGTAACAAACTTTGTATAAGGGCTTTATTAAAATCTTTATCTACATATAAATCCAACGGCACAATACAGCTACATTTTACACAGAAATATAACGCAAATACAGGACAGTCATTATATTATAAACTACACAATTTTACACCATTCCTCAATAAATAAATTTTGATCATTATTTTGATTTTATTACAAATACCCAATTCCATTGCTGAATGATTTCATATCAATAATAATTTATGAAAAAAAAAGAATAAAAATTTAAAGAATTATTTCAAATAACGAAATTAATTTCGTTATTAAAATAAAGTAACTAAACTAGTTACCTTATTTGTTACATTCGTTGGTTTCATAACTTTATGCAATTTCAAATAGTAAACTAAAAACTAAAACGACTTAGTATCTAATAGTAATAGCAGAGTATGATATTTTAAAAAGAAATTGAAATATGCAGATTATTAATATTATAATATAAATAATGTTTTCGTAATCATAGTGACAGTACTCAAGTCAAATTATTTATTCAATATAAAAAGTAGTCATAAAAACATTGATACAATTTTCATTCATTTAAATTCTAAAAGTCATTAAAGCTAATAAACGTGCAACTTACACTGAAATTAAACCTTTATATATTAAATCAGAACTTAACTAATAGCGCAATTGGACACTGCATCAGAAAACGAACGCTTCAGAAGGTAAAATGGTTCCCTCCACATTTTATTAGATAAGTAGTTGAATGATAATACTAAAATGCCGTACCATGAAATAATGAACCACATGACCTTTGATTCAAAAAAGGTCATAGTCCATTCCAAAAAAAAAACAAAATTTCATTTGTGCGGGTAACATTGGCGTGATTTAACTCCTCTAATTTATGTCTATACCAGATCTTCACAAAATATCTTAACCCAATAGAGCTGTAATATAGCGAACTTTCCATTCGACGATTCTTGTAAATTCTTAATATTGTGAACTAAAGTTACATCAAATGGCCAATGTTACCCGACCCTCGACATCGTTAAACCAAAGATACTTCTTGAAATAACATTATCATGCTAATGTTGTAGCATCTAATGTAAAAATATGTTTACACTTGCGACATTTCGATCCAAACCTGCAAGAGTTTAAAACATTATAAAACCACTTTAGAAATCAAAGTCGTATGTATGTTCACTTAATAATTTTATGTTCACTAGCGTAGTCCTACATAATCACGGTGAAGAATTGTTCATTTTGAATTAGACTGACATTCGGTTGACATGATTTTCTTGCGTAAATTGTTTGATCTTATTGTTTTAAACAGCTTTTATCTTTACTTTTTTAATTTGTTTTAGTTTATTGATAATAGATATAACACGACTATTGGTTAGTGCGCATACTTAGTTTAGTTCTTTTGCTTTAGTAAGTACCTGAACTAAATACAGTTTCACAGCTAATAAAAGCTGTATAATTAATAGTTAGGTACCTTCGTTCTACTATGTCATTTGTTTACATTCTATTGGTTTTTTACCCAGTTTTCATATCGTTAGTCCATGGAATTTATATATGAGTAAATATAAAAAAAATCATTTTGTCACGTGATCTTATCGTTTTAACCTAGACTAGATATATCAAATAGTCTAATAATGCTAATTTTATGGTAAAAAAAGATAACACAAAACTTTTGTGGAAAAGTCAACGCGTTGCGATTACTAGTCACATCAAGATTGAAGTAAGTACCTTCTTAATAAAAATCTAGTGAGTGAGTAAGAGTCAGTTTTAAAAAATTAGAAATAGAACATGTGTCCGTGCTAAATCGATTAGTTTCTTTAGCCTACAATGGATGTACGACTAATAAATACTGTATTTTACTTTATTTTTTTATATTTTTAGTAGTATAACTACTTTTCTGTCTATAAACGTCAGTCTAATTCAAAAAATTACAAATATCATCGTAAATTTCAATCATGTTTAGCAGTTGCGCAGTCTCTGCAGCAGCGCCCGAAGCGCTTTAGCCCGATGCTAGGAGCAGCCGTGCTTGTGCATCCAGTCCCTGTAACGATCCACGTCGACCTGTGACACCGTCCGTCTGTACAACATAAAATTGACACTTGATTATACATCGCAAAATGTATTGCTAGAACTGAGAAGAGACACACACATAATCAGTGTTAGAAATTCTTCTGTATAACAGAAGAATTTCTAACAAAAATAACAATCAGTGTTAGAAATTCTTCTGTTATACAGAAGAATTTCTAACACTGATTGTTCTTTTTAAATGCCTAAAATATTATATTAAGACCTAGTTGTATCCTGTCACGCTTCGCTGTTGCATATTGCGGTTGCATTGATGAGAAGTGAGTAACAAAACTGACATGAAAAATAGATAAACCCATCTTTGAAGCGAATCGTGTCAAAATTTGAGCTGGACCGGTGCGCAAAAGTTTTTATCATCTTGGAGCGTACACAAACCAACATAAAATTTTACTATTTAGATTTGCGAAATGCAAGTTTACCAACATAATTATTGATGATAATTAACTAAAACATATTCTAATTATGTCTCAAGTAATCATTGTCATATAATACACTTTAAGTAAAGCAGAGCATCACCTGGTCTTCTCAATAGCGGCACTCAGGTCTTCTACGGAAACGGGCGCATCCAGTTCCGAACGTTTTAGCTTTCGTATCTGTTCTGGATTCTTGCCGGCTATTTTTCTACGCATTGTCATCATTGCAGCGTCTCTAAACATCAAATTTATAACCTTTAATGTAATTTTGTTATAAACCATTAAACCAATAAACGTTACCGGGTTCCTGAAATTATATTGAAAAATTACATTTTCATATTTTGTCATGTACTGAAATGAGAAATAAGAAAAAAAAACTAAAAAAAATCAAACAACAGATATTTATACAAATTTTTGCTTATATACTGCACGGATTGCGTAGTAGTTAAAGCGGTCACCTCGCCGCTTCCTACTACGCTGAGTGTTGTGGATTCGATCTCCACATAGAACAACAATTTGTGTGATTAACAAATTGTTGTTTTGAATCTGGGTGTTCTTTGTGTCGGTTTCATGTATATTTGTTTAGTAAAGACAGGATATATTCCTAAAATATATCCTATATTTAAAAAAATCTCTAACACCAGGCAAATTATTAAAAAAAATGCAATGTAATATTTTCTTGGGACCAAACGTTGAGACAATGCATGATTCTAGAAGGTCTCGACAAATCCTGCAAAAAAGCAGATCAAAGAAACTTACCCCAATATGTTTTTGCATACCAGTACTTGACAGTACCTACCTACAAAGGTTAGTGATGTCGGAGCCGCTGTAGCCATCAAGTTTGGAAGCAACTTCCGATAAGTCTACATTGTCAGCCATGACCACCTCACAAAGACACAACTTCAGTAGTTTCACCCTCGTTGCCTCTGGAATGCATAAATCGTTTTTTTTATGGTATAAGGGGCAAACGAGCAGACGGGTCACCTGATGGTAAGCAACTACCGCCGCCCATGGACACCTGCAACTCAAAAGTCACAAGTGCGTTGCTGCTCTTGGAGTTCCTCCCGCTCGAGTCAGCAGGAGGGGGGATTGGGGCTCCGGGAACCTCACTCGCTCAGTGAAAGCAACGAAAGAATTGCTGAACAACGGTTTTTAATTTAATACACATGTACGTAACATATATATTTTGAATAAAATGAAATTCCTTACAGTATCTTAACCAGCCCAAAATCCTACATTAATGACATTATTGTCTTCAAACGAACAATGCGGTTTGGCTTCTACCAACTCTACACATTTAAGCCGCTTTGATAAGTGGGATTGACCTCTGGTAACTCATAGGGGGAAATAAGATTACAATTTACATTACATCAATGAGTTTGAGCAAGGAATAAATGCGAATCGTGATGGTCTAGGCCTGGATTTACCATTGACGGTGGGCCATAGCAAAATGCGAAGTATTTGACCTACGCTACCACTTTACCTATTACACTCAAATGACGTCGGAATATTTTATGTAACAAAAAAATTTTGTCAACACCGTATGAATGTCTGCTCCCATCTCTTTCAACTAGTTTCTTATGTAGGAGACAACAATCGCACTATTGTTCTATTGCACTTTAAGCTATAATGCCCTCTGCTGCTCATGAATTGTACTACACAGTGACAAAAAGAATGGTGGTAGAAAATTAATCCAAGGCACATTACCATCAGGTAGACCGATGTAGATCCTCTTTTCGAATCGTCTCCTAAACGCCTCGTCGATGTCCCATGGATGGTTCGTGGCGGCCAGGACCATTATTATTTTGTCTCGATGACTGTAATAACAACCAAAGTTAGTTATACATATAAATATCGCTAACATATTCATAATCATATAACTTGACACATCTCAATTCATGGCCGTTAAACATAGTCTGACTTTCCTGCCTTTTGTTTCCTTCTTTCTGTTGAAACTAATGACGGCGACTTTACCTTGCAATGATATAGAAATTTACATCACTGCTATCTGCGAAGACACATCGATGGGCTGCGGTCCACCTGGCATGATAACCTCGCCTGGTCGGAGGATACTCTTTGTTGGAGAGACAGTAATACACATTCCCGAATTTCTTTTAATGAATAAACTTACAAAGCAGCGCAAAGTCCATCCATCTGTATAAGCAATTCAGCTTTAAACCGTCTTGAAGCTTCATGCTCTGAGTCCGCACCTCTTACCGCGCAGAGCGAATCTACCTCGTCCAGAAATATTGTGCTGGGTGCATAAAATGCTGCCTGAAAATATAAAACATAATCCATGAACCAATTCGAAATAATTATGGATATCCATCAAAAACCTTTGACCCTGTATTTAACCTTATAATTGATAAACTAGAATTCGAAATTCGAAATTATGTAATTAGTTTTTAGTGATATGTACTAAAGTTCGTCAATCGCTACTAAAAAATTGAGAAAACCAGTTGACAATCAGAGGTGAAAACTTAAAGGTATACATATAACGAAATTTGATCCTAATTTACGGATCTAACATAACTGTAAACTGTAGAATGAAAAAATATATTTGTTTTCTATACGACGATAAATGAAAAATCCTTGAGATTTGAGCACACAAATCTAAAACACGATATTATAAAAAACTGAAAACCAAACAGAAAACTGAAAACCAAACAACGCATTCTTTAAGCCTGGATGCCTAAAATATTACTAACCCTACCACACTTACCATGTCAAATAACAGACGCACTAGTTTTTCAGAATCTCCCCGATACTTAGAAGTGAGAGTTGCTGACGATACATTGAAGAAGGTAGTACGACATTCTGTGGCGACAGCCCTTGCCAGTAAGGTCTTGCCGGTTCCCGGAGGTCCTGTTAGTAGTACGCCTTTCCATGGTCGTCGAATGCCCTAGAAATAACCATTTTGAGGAACTACTTTGATATACCTTGGAGAATAGTATAATTATTTCAACTAACAAATTTAAAAGTAACAAGTCAAATTGCAATTTGTTTGTGAACAATATCATAATTATCATTATAATTTAACAGCCCTGTTCCCACTTTTATTTGTAGTTGGCACAAAATGTAATATACTCGTAACAAAGGTTTTCGACTGATTTCTTTTATCGTCGGCCTACCTGACGGCAACCGTCCTTTGTAATCGTTTACAGACGGCACGAAGGAAGAAGGTTAATTAACAGATGGAAAACAGTTGGAGGGATACCATAATTCTTAGCTGGAATTTGAAGATGGGATCTCGTTAGAATGAATAGAATGGATTTAAATTTCATAGACCTCTTAGAAGAGATCTCTGAAATTCACATAAAAGTCTTTCTAATACTAAAGACTTTGAATTTTGGCAGAGAGGTAGATTATAGGTATGATTAAATCCACTCATAGCTGATACGTCACTGCTATGAGTGGATTTAATCATACTATAGTGCCACTTTAAGAAACTGAAAGGGCTTGAGCAACTTTATGTAAATGTTACGACACTTTGTGTGATCCACAAATTGTTGTTCTGAGTCTGGGTGTTCTTTGTGTACGTTTCATGTATGCTTTTAAAGTCCTCCGCGGCACAGTATATATTACTACTGTGAGAGTAGTCTTTAAAAATTTTTTTTTTGTTTTTCAGAGAGACGGCTTAAGGTGAGAAAAAGGCATTCAAAACGAATGCTATATTATCGTTACAAACCACTAAAATCTAAAATATCTAGGTCATAGCACAAAAATATATAGAACGCCATTTTACTGGTCTTGGCGTGTGGCACCAACATTTGGTTATTTCAAGGGCTAAATTTGATTAGTATAGTATGTATTTACATATATTGTTGAAAGGGTGACATTGAACTGAAGTCACGCAATCAAGTGCAAACTAAACGGTACAATAGGCATTCAATGGTGAACGTAGTATGGACTACTATCGTTGCATATTGAAACATTTTAATATAATATAAAACTTGATTTATCTGCTAACTGTAAAAGAAATATATATTAGTTATTCTATAGTTCGCAGAATGTTTCTACAACTTTCTGTATTTTCGCCTACTGTAAGAAGATTTTGTTGTAAGTAACAAATAAAGAATTTAGGAATCACAGACCTGTTTGTTGTAATTAAAAGATAACTATGATTTAAGCAATATGCAATACGATACGACATGATGAAATACCTATTGAAAAGTATCGTGGTGGAGTATGGTTTCAAATATTATATTATTATAGTTTAGGTGTAGTATTCATTCATAGATTAGCTTACTGTAAATTCTTACAGGAAGATGAATGTGGTTTGAGATACACAACAACGGGGGGCCTACTCGGTTCAAATACTCTATGAAGAAAAACTTCGAGCTATGAAGGAAAACTCTTGAAAAAATTTACGAACCCTCCTGGGGTTCACTGTCTCTGGAATCATGTCATTTGTCACGAGACATAGGATAGGAACGCAACAAACCAGGGGCCTCTCCAAGTAGATAAGATTGATAGAAACATAAATAAATACTTTATATGTACTTCCCGGTTAACAGATTTAATATAGGAGACACCAAGTAATAGCGAGTTCGACTGTGAGGTCATGATATACTTTTCGCAAGTCAAGAAATAATATCAAAGATATTACAAGCCCTGGTAACTTGATTAACAGCAACATACATCAAGAAAGTCTTCGTATTACTTGAAAGCCTAAATGCCCCAACACTTCCGAAGCGAGCACGCAATACGACAATTTATATGACCGTCTTCAAATCGGGCTTGTAATTTTGCACTCAAGCAAAAGTCCTCGAAATGTCCTAATTCTTTACAATGCCTAAAGAAAAACTGTGTAATTTATGAAATGATTTACACACAATTACTTGCTTACAGTGTTTACTACACTTAAATACATTTGGTTACTTGCGTGCAGAATTATACTTCTAATTTGGGCTCAGCCGAGATTAATTTGAATGTCATCCAATATTTGGTCCTATTTACAAAACTATGAAAAGATAGTTCGTTTTCTTTTTAAATAAGAAAGGTGATAAAGAACCAGTCAGTTCTACGATTACCTTATTTTAAATTACACTGATAATTTTTTGACGAGCCATATTTAAGAGAGCATTGCAGTCTTTGGGCAGTAATGTAAAGCTAATGTATTTCAACCGCAAAAACCAAACATATCAGTTTTGTTGTTTCCGTGGTAGAAATAAAATATACTCCAATTTAAGAATACTATGTACATGAGTGTATTTGATCTTATCTTAATTTCAAACTTTCAAATATAGTTTTAAATACACAATAAAATTAAAAATACATTGAAATACACAATCAAATTAAAAATACACTTAAATACGTCATAGTTAATGTCTCTGTTCTAGTGATCAATCGGATGTACACGTGTATTCAGATGAGTTATAGCAGTCGTAATCCTTTGTCTAAAAACCAAGTCTAATAACCTTACTAGGAAATGCAATGGTTAAACCATTGCATTTCCTAGTAACAGTTAAAAAGCTATTGCATTGGGACACATTTTGCCGACTCCGAATAAAATTACGCTAAGAGCAGAAAGATGATACTGATGATTAAAATGTCCAAACTTTGTTTGTTTAACTATATTGTTTACTCTGTAATACTCACAATTGTACTTAATATGTAATTGTATTAAATTAAAAATTTGTACATATTTCTAATTATCGTACTAAATAATGCATAGAAACAGGCTTACCTTAAAATAATCAGGCATCACCAAAGGCAGAACCACAGCCTCCTGTAAAACAGATTTTGCATCATCCAGCCCAACTACATCCTTCCAACGAACATCAGGGTTCCGCTGTAGAATATCCCTTTCCAGAGTCTCAACTAGATGATATTCATAACCAGACGCATCAAAAACTTTTTCTGGTTTCTCGTCTTTTTCATAGACTGTCGTTACATCACCACCTTCCATATTTGGATCAGTTTTCCTTACTGTAGGTTTTATAGGAATCAGATTTCTTTTTCCTCTTGGCATTCTCTCTACTGATCTAGTCTTTCTTCCACTGCTCACTGCAGAGAGTACGGAAGAATTCTTTCTGGACACTATTGAAGGAAGCGTAGGTTGCAGGTTTGGGTCTCGACGTCTTAATGTACCCATCCATTTCTCTGTAGTAGGATCTGGCTGTTTTTGAACTGCATCTGATCCTGAATCTTGGAAGTTTATAACTTGTGGTGTTACAACTGAAACAAAATTTAAAAACAACAATTTTGACTGTTTATGTATGCATTAACTTAGGGACTGCCTCTATGGGTATAAATATTTTACTACACCAATATATTGTGTCAATATTGTCATTAATATACTGTCACTGATTAGCATTATAGGATTATGTAGGTATGAACCTCGTTGATATAAAATGACGCCATAAACCATAACTTTATCGTAAAAGGGATTTAGTTGATCTAGAAAGTAAATAAAAAGTAAACAATGACAGCTTAATGTTAATTTTTGAAAGCCACCAAAACGAACACCATATATTATTTCTTACAACTAATTCAAAAATAAAAATATAAAGTTTAAATATGGAAAAGATTTGTGAATTAATTGAGAAATTTAAAAACAAAACAATTGTGTATGGTCTTGTATGAGTTTTGAATGAAATGAGTTTTTTTTTTACATTTAGGTGATCATATTATTCAATGATTTGGAATTAACAGCCTTTACCTATAGTGTTCAAGATTAAAAACTAATTCTAAGATCAGCCCTTATGGTAATTAAATCAAATCATAAAAGTGATAAATAACAAAGAAAACCTAACAACATATTTTTATATAATAAACGGATTAGGGTTTGTGATTAATATCACCCAATGGCAAGTGATGATTTAGACTATGAGCTTCATATTATTATAACTATCTTACGGCCTGACCACGGGGCATTCGCTGCAGCCAATTCGCGCTATATAAACAGCGGAGCGTATAGCGACTAAAACAAATGTATGGAAAGTACTGGGTATGACACGCGTAGCGGCGATCGGCGGGACACAGAGACAAATGTATGAAACAGCACGGCGCATGCCACGGTTTCGAGCGGTAGACGCGGCGAATAGTACAAGAGCCAAAACAGTTTAATTGTACTCGCCGCTAAATAATGCACTTCTTCTTCAAGTGCCGTCTTCGTTCCGAAGTTTGGTAATCATCAAAGCTATTCTAGTTTTAGATCCCCGTTTCTTTTCTCTTGAATTTCATTTTGCACTTTTTTTACATTTTTGGACACCAGGATTGTCATTTCATATCTATTATTACACTGTCACTGGTATTTCGTAGTAAAGTATTTAACATCCAACGTTGATTAAGATAAGTATATTGTATTGTAACTGAAAATTAAATCTGTAATCTGCTAGTCTTTTCTATATTGCTACGAAAAAGTCTTTTATTACAGTTACGAGATCGGAACTGAATTTTATTGGCCTTCTGAGGCTTACCATCTAGTGGCGCTGAGACCTTTGATATCTAGTAGGTATAAGAACCATCGTTAACTGTAGGTATATGACAGTGTAACATTCAACCAAAATAGTTTATTGTACACGCCGCGTGATAATGAACACCGAAACTATTATTGCAGAGATATAAGCTAGATCAGCTATTTTGCAGGAATATATAGAAAAGCATATGGTGAAGAGATTGTGTGAAGATATAAAAGTACAATTTCAATTTTTATTCAAATCGTGAACTCCACAATTTCTTCTAAACATCTTACTATGTATAAAATTTAGTTATCTTAAATATAAAATATATTTAGTTTCTTGTACAAAAAAATCTACTACTCTCCAAGCAATGTAGAGACAACGTTGATAAAGACATCTTGCTCTCTGTTTATATTGGTCGCGGCAGTAAACGCAACTGCCCATGGCGTGTCGCGTGTATTGCCGCTCTTCGCGCCGCCCGTTCCCGTGGCCAGGTCATTATGGTATATAATTATTCTAGCTTTTACAAACTGCTACGTCTGCGTTAATTTTGCTTTAGTCAATCAAGTTTTCCTTGACAAAAATAGCCCACATGTTATTTTAGATAATAGTCTCTGTGCCAAGTTACATCCTCACAAACGTTCACAAATAATAAGAAGATTGCTATCGATATAATTATATACGGTTATTATTATTTGCCTGCAATGAATTTACACAACGAATTTAAATTTTCTATTTATTTAATTAAATACTAAATAATATTATTTCATATGCCATGGCAAAGTGTGCAAGTACATTAGATATTATCATTAGAATCTATTGACTAACCCGCCAGATGTAAGTAATGAAGAAAAGTAAAAAATATTCTCTTTATACAATATAAGTCAATGACTGAAGGTACCAGACAGTTTTAATTAGAATTAGAAGAAATGTCCATTTATTTGTCACGACGGCGAACCTTTGTAGTTAGATAATTGCAATCTATGGCGACGATGGCAATTATTTGCGGTCGTGTTTGCGGTTGTGTGACATAAGGGTGTGTTGTTGGTTCGTTTAACAAATTGTTTAAAATTACGTTACTAGTGGACTATTCGGTAGTCTCCAAGTCGTCCCTCTGATAATTATTGTTGTTTCGTTAATTTCCTTTTTATATGAAATATCTAACGCGGAGAGCCAGGCTGGCTGTTAGCGTGGAAACTCGTCTCCACACTATGTGGTAGTATATATATATATATATAACACTATCTGAGACCCGCGGCGTTAGCCGCGTTTGTTGTTATTACCGCGGGCAACGCCGCGGGGCGAAGCTAGTCTAAAAGAAGTAGCCTAAGTTAGTCCTTATGTCATCAGCTATCTGCCAGTGAAAGTCCCGTCGAAATCGGTCCAGCCGTTCCAGAGATTACCCGGAACAAACAGACAGACAGACAGACAGACAAAAATTGTAAAAAATGTTATTTTGGCATATGTAAGGTGTAAATATACATATGCATTTAGTAAAAAGCGGTTATTTTAATATTACAAACAGACACTCCAATTTTATTTATTTGTATAGATGTCATACGGTGTGGCGGCGCGTCGCGCCAGTAACTCTGCGACGAAATATTATATTTTTAATTGTGCTATATTTAATATTCCTTCTCATGAGCTATCCTTTTATAATCATTATTTCTACAAAATATTTTCGATGTTGCACATCTGTAAAGCGTCCTGTAAATGCTCTTTTTTTTAATCTATATATAACTAAAAATGAATCGCCAAAATGTGTGTACGCGCATAAATTCCGAACGACTGTACCACTCCGAGTGGTGATGAATTAAGAATAGAGAATGTCGCCACCGCTTTTCATTCTGTGGGAGTCGTAAGAGCCTACTAAAGGGACAATCTACGCAGGACAATAGCATTGCAAAGAGAAGGAAAACTCGAAACGTACTCTGTACTCTCTGTACTCAGCGTGGCATAGAAGGCCAAAACCTCCTTTCTAAGGAGAGGCCTATGTAGAGCAGTAGACTATCAAAGGCGTGGATATGTGATGATGATGTAACTGCACCGATTTGGATAATTCTTTTTTTATGTGTTCGTTGTTGTCAGGACAAGGTATGTATAAAAGAAAATTAAAAAAAAAGACAGAAAGGACTGTGAGAGATCTATACTAATATTGTAAAGAGTTAAAATTTGTGAGTTTGTATGTTCGGGGGAAATCTCAGGAACTACGGGTTCGAATTGAAAAAATCTTTAAGTGCTGGATAGCTTTTTTATCGAGGAAGAATATAGGCTATAATAACATCATGCCATTAAGAGAAGAGTATCAATCAAAAATATTGTGAAAACGGTCAAAACTTATTCCTTTTGGGAAGAAGCGTGGGAAGATGACGATCTTCTCGGCTGCCGAATATGCAAGAGTTCTTCAACTGCTCTTCAAAACAACTTTTTAGATTCGCAGTATCTAAAACTAGAATAGCCTCGATGATGCCAACCTTTGAAACGAAGATGGCACTTAAAGAAGAAATTCAAAATCTTTTGGCTCTTATTACCGCCCTTTCGGAATACAAAGGAAACATGGGTGTTTTCACACAGGAGGGGGTCATCTACCAGCTGCAGATGGCCTGAGGTACGTCGGGGTACCAGGGATTTCCTTTTTAGGGTACCTGGTTCCCCGGCTACTAGTATCCGAGATGGCGTACAGTTTTTGGTTTGTTCGAGTCCGACATAACCACCGGTGGGTGGTATCCGAGGGAATTTCCGAAGAGAATTTTAGGTCATAACACCGCCGCAACGCGTTTCATTCTCAGTATTTTTTTCCATACATTTATTTTAGTCGCCAGACACTCCGCCTTTCGCACCGCGCGGATTATCGCTGCAGCGAATGTCCCGTGGCCATGCCTTAATACCTATCGTTAGCGCGTTTACTCCCATAAACCTTGTTCTGTATATAAAAAAAAATGTTATAATAAAGAATGTCCAAGTTACCTTGCGTGGGTAGGTGTCTAGTCCCGTTAGCCGCATGTGTATTGGGTGGTTTGTTCTTGGCTCTTTCTCTTCTGACCTCGCTCCTTTCCGTCCGAAGGCCGTCTCTGGGAGGGTTGTCTTCACCCTTCTGGTCACCGTTCCGTCGCGCTGTCATTCTTGCGAACCCAAAGGGTTGGAGGCTCTCCACCATCATTCTGTCCATCATTCTGGCCATGTGGTGGAAGCCAGATGATGGACTGTAAAAAAAAACAGAATTTGAACACTATGTTACAGTTGATCGTTCTTTTCCTACAGTTATTTGTCCTGGGTGGGAATCGAACACACAAAATCAGGCTCATCAATCAGAATCGCTAACTACTTCACCAACAGATCAGTCAAAAGATTTATCATACCTTAGAATCTGAGGACAGGCAAAAATGTTTAATTATTGTAAACACAATAAATATACAAACAGTGTTATAATGAAAATTATCTCGAATTTGCAAACAAATATGTAATGGCGCATGTTGTTTTTAATTTTAAGTAGACTGGGTAGGAAACAAGATAATTGATATAAAGATACATTATGCCTCAATTATAACAGAAATACCCGGCGTTGTTCCTAGTAGACCTCATATTTATAACCTTTAATTGTTTTAATGGAATACCAATATGCCAAAAACAACAAGGACATAAATATCGAAAAAAATTATGTGTGAGTGATCTATTCATATTATTATGTTTTTATATAAATGAATCATTTATATAAAAACAGCGGCAGTACCGTGCCATGCTACGCACATTGTGAAGCATCGACGAGAAATAAGGAACTAAACGGACTCAAAAATAGCTAAGAACAATCTTCGAAGCGGATTGTATATGGTGTCCAAATTTGAGCTCAACCGGTGCAGAACTTTTTTCATTTTCGAAGCGTACACAAACCAACTTTACATTTTTGTAAAATATATATAGATTATAAAAAGAGAAGACAAGAGAGTGAATGGTGCGGAGTGCTGAAGGATGTAGATGAGTTGCTCCTGCAATAGGACTAAATCCTGTGTAGCGGGGGACTTTACAAACATACAATAAACGGGTGTCCGTTTATTGTGTTTGCTGCTGTAAGAGATTTTTTAAAATATTTGATATATTTTAGGAATATATCCTATGTCTTTACAAATATATCTGAAACGGGCACAAAGAACACCCAAACTGAGAACAACAATTTTTGAATGACCAAAGTGTTCCATGTCCAAAATCCCATGTGGGGATTGAACCAACAACACCCAGAGTAGGAGGAAGCAATGAGGTAACCGATTAAACCACTACGCCATCCGTGCAGTTATGTCGGACTGGTGAACGAGATTATAATAGATGAAGTCAGATTGGCAGAACGAAGTATGAAAAATTTAAAAGCAGTTGGCCCCGGTGAAATACCAGTGGAAGTTTGGAAGTTACTAAAAGAAGACGGATTTGAGTGGTTGACTCTATTCAATACTCAATACTTTATTGCTTCCACAATGTAGATACTTAGGTGATATCAATTTAAATATAGTAACAATTATAGACCCTGACGAGCGCAGCACAGTTTCTTTGGGAGAGAGGAATTAATATTTTATTTATTATTTAACATAATAGTTGTATAATTTATGAATTTTATTATTTTAGAATTCTATTCTCTTATGCTCTTATGCAAAATATTCTTCAGTATGTTGTTGCATGAAGAGGTAATCCTAAAGGAATGGTGGCAAACCCAACTCGCACCCATTGTCAAAAATAAAGGGGATGTTCAGGAATACAACAACTATCGAGGAATTAAGCTCATGTCACATACTATGAAATTCTGGGAGAAAGTGATTGACAGAAGAATAAGAGATGAGAGTGAAATAGCCCAAAGTCACAATACAACAGACTCTATATTTGCAAGGCGTCAACTATCTGAGAAATACAGGAGTGAAGAACTTGCATATGGTATTTGTGGACCTCGAAAAGGCATATGATAGGGTAACTCGAGAGGTTTTGTGGTGGGCTTTGAAAGAAGTAAGAGGGCCTGTTAAGTATGTAGAATTGATTCGTGCTATGTACAGAGAGTCTAGCACTCATATAAGGTCGGTCACAGGAAACACTGATCAATTTAGTGTATCTGTAGACCTACACCAGGGATCGGCTCTGAGCCCATACCCTTTCCTGTTGATAGATGCTCTGGCATCGGACATACAGGAGGAGGCACCTTGGTACATGTTATTTGTGTTGGCCAGTGAAAATGGGGCGAGGTCCAGAGCAGACTAGAAAAATGGCAATAAAGGCTGGAGAATATTGGCTTGACAATCAGCAGCACCAAAACTGAATACATGCTCTGCGATTTCGGCGGTCTCTCCAGTTCTGAAACTATTTCGCTGGATGGGGTAGCGATAACAGTCTGCGCCAATTTCAAGTACCTCGGCTCCCTCTTACGATGTGACGTTGAAATTGATCCAACTGTACAGTATCGACTCAATACGGGATGGATGAAGTGGCGGCAGGTAACGGGAACAATTTGTGAACCCAGTTTCCCTTTAACACTGAAGGGACAAATTTATAAAACTATTATTAAACCTGCCGTCCTGTATGATTCTGAAAGTTGGCCCATAAAGAGAACGGATGAGAGACGCCGGAACGTAGCCGAAATGCGAATGCTGAGATGGATGTGTGGTGTGACTCGGATGGACAAGGTTAGAAATGAGTAGACACGAGGGAGTCTGAAAGTAGCGCCACTGGACGAAAAGTTAAGAGGTAATAGGTTATTTTGGTATGAACATGTTTGTATGAACATGATTGTGTGAGTGAGGATATGGCTAGGAAGGGAGTAAACAGTGAGATGACGCATGATAGAGTAGAATGGAATAATCATGCTTACTGCGCCGACCCCAAATAAAATTGGGATAAATGGGATAATAATAATAATGGGATAATGGGGATAAATGAGGTAAATAGAGATCTAGATATCTATATCTCATAGATGATGATATATAGATTGTAAATTTATAAGTTTTCTGATTTAAATTTCATCTCAACTTTCATAAACTTTCATGTTTATCATCAAATGATTTATCTTGATTGACAAAATTTATTAGTAAAAATATTTAAACATCCGTCTTGCACACACGAAAAGAAATAATCTAGTGTATAGGGAGCAGTTTAATACACTAGTCGCACCACAGATCGGGGCACGTCAGTGTCCTGACTATTTGAATAAATACTAGCAAAATTACTCCGTTTTCCTCATGGACCAACTATGTACGCACAACTAGTTGTGCCATCCCAGAATATGTTCTTAATGACACAACTATGCACAACTAAGCACAACTGATTTACTAAAACCATTCCTTTTAGCACAACTACAGGAGGAAATAAACAAGATTATTACTAACCTCTACAGATATTGATGATTATGTTGGCCACTTCTGTCATATCTTTGTATATTAACAAATAGAAAATTATAAATGCCATTTCATGTCATTTATTATCAGTAATTATTTTAAAAATATTGATATATTATTTTCGTGCATACGCTGGCGTATATCCTGACTGTAAGCATGTCTGTCTGTCTGTCTGTCTACGCCAGAAGACGAAGAACTTATACACCGATTGTAATTAGTTGTGTATCTAGGAACAAATATTAATTGAAAATTATTTAGTTGTGCCAATAGGAATGAAAAAAAAAATATTCCTCATGACACAACTAGTTGTGCATACATAGTTGGTCCTTGAGGAAACAACGAAAATTACAACAAATTTCAAAAAATTATAGAAATACGTTTTCAAATCTTTATATGTTCCTTTAGGAATCCCAATTTCATTTAACTTGAACCTAGTTTGAAAATTATTGCAAATCAAAATTTATTAACTATATCACTTTCTCACTCACCGACCATCAAAAAACTAACATAGTTCTAGCAGACACACATGTGTCAAATTCTTTTATCACACAGAAAAGTATTTTCTGTAACACAACTGATTACGTAATTCAACTGCGATAGCGTCCATAGTTATGTATATACGGGTATATGTGTCTAGGTGGAATATAAATAAGTTATTCTTTACAAATTTCGCATATAACCTGTTTTTAGTTTTTTTTACAAGCATTAATATAATGGTGTCAGACCGTCTTCCGATCGGCATGTCTCAGAGGAGCTTAGAGAAAAGTTCAGTTTCTTCTCATCTAACAAGAAATTGGCCATGTTTACCCAGCCTGAGTGATAGTGGCGTCATCAAGGGTCCGAAAGTTGATTTTTAGAGCTCCGTACCTCAAAAAGTAAAAAAGGAACCCTTATAAGATTACTTTCTTGTCCGTCTGTCCATGTGTCACCATGTGTGTTTTCTCAGTACCGGATAGACCTAGCAAGTTGAAATTAATACTAGATACTGACTGAAAAAGATATAGGAAAATTTCGATTTCAACTTTGGAATTTTCAACTTTTTTATTTTTCAGACCTTGCTTTTAACAAAAATTGAGAATTTTAGGTCAACCGGAGGTACCCTGTAGGTTTTGGGTCAAACACCTATATGGTAGTCCCCGTTGACCTAGACTCAAAACTCTTTGGCAAAAAGAAACATCTTACAGCATAAATAAAGGAATAATTCCAAAAAAAAAAAGTTGAAAATTAAGAAAAATTTTGGTACTTACAAATTTTCGCGAAAATCTACGTAAAATTTGGGTAGGTTCGACTCGTACCTGACCGGTTTTTTTTTGTTTTTAAGACCTGCGACATATTGCTGATAAAAATCTTACCAAGAGGGTTTACTAAGCACTCTGTGCTGTATAACCGTATGGGGTGGTACGTGTAAAACGGCTATGGTGGAAAGGGCTCAGAGGGCCGTGCTGAAGCTGGGTCACCTTTCCTTTTTCCTACTCCTTAGAGACCTTTATCTTCTAGCTGATGTCCTCACAGTCCGCCAACTATATGTCCTAAATGCTACCCTCAAATAGCATTCATTATCTACTGACATACGAGCCTTCGCGTACTAATACAAGACTAAAACACAATATTGGTTAAAATACCTACGTCCAGAGGTCCACTGTCTTCTCCAGGAAGTTCTATGGTTTTCTAAGTGGATATTTGTACAAGAACTTAAATAAATAAAAAAACATTTATCAACTTATCCGACACAAGTGTAAAAGACTTATCACTTCGTGGCTAAAGTCTCTTAATTACGTGGAAACCGAAAATCTAATCAATGTGCCCGCATAATATCATAAGTATATTACATACAATAATACACGCACTCACACAAACACGCACACACACACACACACACAAGCACTCACTAACTCATTCACACACACATACACACACTTTATTATTTATCTACAACGACAATGCTTTCAGCTGTCCAGAGTTTGGAGAGGCTGGTAATCTATAATACAGGTGTCCTAGTGCGGATTCCAGTCCTCCCACACAGAATATTCATTAATGTTTCCCATAGCCTGTACTAATTTAGTAATATTTATGATTGTAATCTGTGTGAGAGAAAACAATAAAGTTATTTGTATTTATAGTATCACAAAGATTTTGTGTGCTTTGGCAAATACTCTCCGACATTATCTCATGATAAAAACCCCAAAACTCGAAAAAGTGAACATTTCCAAATGGAAAAGGTTTTAGTTTCCCTAGTCTCAAAATCGATCATCATCATCATCAACAGCGTTTTACAGTCAACTGCTGGACATTGGCCTCTCCTTAGAAAGAAGATTTTGGGGTTCCATCGGGGCGGGGCTATCTTATCTTGATGAATAAGGGTGGTAACACTCCGTTGTACATTACTACTTTCTTGTTGTTCGTAAAAGAACAACATCATAAAGCGCCCTGCTTTATGATGAATTCATCAAGAATATAATAGGAAAGATAAAACTGGAATATATAATAAGCGAGTAGACTATTATACAGACCGGAGAAATAAATACTTTATATGAATGCTGTCATTCCTATTTTGACGTTTACATAACCAAAAATGATATTTTCTCGAATTCCCAATTTTATGCTGCACATTCCAGTAAACAATACCTCCGTTGTTTTTAAATTCTCGAAACATCTACAGATGAAATTTCTACAGTGCTTGTGGTAGCTATAATACCCTAAAAGTACTACAGGATCTACTGATACTTGAAAGCGAGAGTCTACCACGGACTATTTTACATACCCGATAAAGGGGTCATGTTCGAAAAATTGTCTGATACCCCCAATATTTGGGTATAAGGAGTCTCCAAACCCAAAATCCATTTTTCTTCTCAACACTCGGATGACATTTGCTAGGTACATAGGTCTAGGTGTCCGATATCACATCGAGGTCACTTTTAGGTCACGAAAACATAATTTTTCCAAGTGTGTTGTTGAAAATGTGTGTCATTACTTGTGTTGAACCGGCTTGTTGGAAAATCGTGTGCCACTTGACAGGTTTGTTATGGTGCCGTTGTCATGGCAACCCGTTGCGGAAACCAAGAACGGCGGTAAGATCCGATGCGTAAACCACAAACATTCGTAAGCATTATAATTTATGATGTCGAGGTGCTTGACTGGTCTACTTTTGGTGAACTTTTATAATATTATTTGTATGTAATGACGAAAATGGACTATAATTACTAACTACAGCATAATGGGTGGTGTGCATTGAACCTTTTTAAGTGTGTCAAAGGTTACAATATGATATTGGAATGATAAAGAAATTAATAAAACCTACCCAAAGTATGCTTTCGATGCGCCATCAAACCAGACGGTAAAAAAAGAGTTTGATTTGAGCTTGAGTGAAAAATAACATCAGCCAATCAAATACCTTATTGACAATGTACCACAGTTCATACGATACAATGTTAAAAGGAAAAATATTACAGCATTAAAGTTACATTTATCCATATTATATTGACTGCCTCGATGGTGCAGTGGTAGCATATGCGACTGCTGTGTTTCGGTTTCTGTTCCCTTGTCGAACCAAATGTTTCTATGATCTGCAAATATTTGTTTCAGAGTTTGGGTGTTTTCTTTATATCATATGTATGTAAATACAAAAAAAAAGTTCTATCAGTCAATCTAGCTTTCAAAGTACAAGCTCTGCTTAGTTTAAACTAGATGACGTTGTGTGTTTCTCATGAGATACCACAGGTCCCAAGACCATTTGTCTGAAACTGCTTTTACCAGTGCTTATATTCGTATGCAACCCTGAAAACGAACTCTTTATCACCAAGCACACAAGTGCAGTTTACTAACTTATCATAACAGGCAAATCCCCGTGAATTACGTATATGACTTGAACGTATTCTATATCCCAAAAAGGAATAGGCGTGTGAAATTCATAATTTTGTCAAATATTGGATTTTACGTGTTTGAGCCTTACATTACATTTTCCAAAAGACGACAGTAGGCTTGAGCATGGATTGGGGGATATAGGCAATAGTTTGAGCAGGTTCGAGTCGCATGATTACGACTTAACTAACTCGCTTCCCCGGCAATTGGCAAGAAAATGAACACTAGGGTGATTCTTTGTCGGTAAGAGTGCGACAGACCCCTTCATCATCATATCATCAACGTCCACTGCTGGATATAGGGCTCCTTTAGAAAGGAGGTTTTGGCCGACTATACCACGCTGGCCAGACGGGTTGGTATAGGGTTTGTTTCAAGTTTTCCTTCTTTTTGCAGTGCTGTTTTCCTGTGCAGTTTGTTCCCTTAGTCGGCTCTTACGACACCCACGGGATGAATAGGGGTGGTGACATTCCGTATTCTTAATCCGTCCGTCCGTCCGACAGACCCCTTTGCCACCCCCTAATGTGCAAGGGACATCCATGAGAATCTTCCATCCCGGTAACAAAAAAAAAAGATAATATTTATCATTTTAAACTGTTACGAAAGTAAATTATTTTAAAGACCGTAAAATAAAAATTTCAACCAAAGAAACATTACAGTATTAAAAGCTAACTGTGGTCATCTGTAAGGCCACTCAGTTCCTTAATCTGGCAAGTATCTTAGCAAGTTCCATAATTCAAATTGAGATCTTGTTGTCTTCTTCTTCATGCCTGTATACCAACAGTAAATTCTTGTAATATATTTACCTTTTTGGCTGTATAAACGGAAAATTCCAACATCGTAATTTACCCGAAGTAAATTTGCAACACGTCCACCACGCCTATTATTGCTCTGTGTGCAATGCTGCCCTGCAAAGGTGTATGACCCCGTGTTTACCTTTCAAAGGTAAACTTGACAGCTTCGAACCGAATGTGTGTCAAAGGTCATTGACTGGACACCTGTACGTGAGGTCAAACACCTTACGCTCAACGGCAATGCAATCGATGCGTCGAAGACATCGCCAATAGTTTAAGGACATTCTAGAGTTATAGGTTATTGGCCGTTGTTCCCTTTTGCAGTTAACTTTGTACCTTATTTCAAAGGTCACATAAGCCTTACTGCATTTGTAAGTTGACATTTGTAAGTTGACTTTTGACACGCTTATATTAGCGTCTCTTGTAAGTGACCAACTACATAAAGAAATTCAGAATGTTAATTATTACCTATTTGTAAATGTCATATCGATATGTATATAGGTAGGTACTAGGTATAAATCCTGTGGAATGGATGGTGTGCAATTTACAAATATAAATGAAACGAACACAAAGAACACCCAGACTTAGAACAACAATTTTTAGATCACACAAAGTGTTGTCCCATGTGGAGATGGAACCCACAATAGGAAGCGGAGAGGTGACCGCTTAAACCACTACGCTATCCGTGCAGTCACGCCATATGTGGTTCGGATGAGAATACTTTAGGTTAGATCATCATCATCATCAGCCTATCGCAGTCAACTGCTTGACATAGGCCTCTCCCATTGCACGCCACTTAGATCGTTTTTGGACTTCTCGCATCCAGCTCCTGCCAGTCATCTTGCGCAAATCGTCACTGCACCTAACCTGTGGGCGTCCTACACTACGTTTGCCGAGACGCGGTCTCCACTCAAGAACTCGTTTTCCCCAACTGTTGTCGGTTCTGCGGCTAATATAGCTAGCACGACTTCAGCTTGTTTATCCAGTAGGCTATGTCGGTGACCTTAGGTTGGATAGTGGAGCTTTTCATTAAATTTATTGACATCAGTTCAGTTTTTTTATTTATATTCAAATAGGTACATGTAGTATGTATTTCTTTACTTACTTATTAATCAAGAATACAAATCAACTAGGCACTACTGCGTCCTCGAACAATGGTATTAAATCCTCTTTATAATAAGACACAATCTACAATAGATTACATTTAGCAAAAATATCGTCTTTTTGCCTCAAATTGTAGTAATAGAATACCAACATAATATTTTAAAAATCCATAAATAAAAATATTTAATTACCATATTATTCATTTCATTTTCATTCTCATTCATGAATTTCATTTTCAATTCATTTTCATTCATGAATATTTATTTCATTTTCCATATGATAAGTACCTGTATTAGTGCAAAATATGTGACACGAGAACTATATACATATACTCTACTTTAAGTATTCATAAGTTATATATACCGAAGTATATTTCAGCTTTATCTCTGCCACAGGCTCTAAGTATAGGGTATACACAAGTATAAGTAATAAGCCATAATATAATTCTAGGGAAGAAACTCTCACAGCTTTATTTCATTAGTGTCATTTTTGTTACGAGCACAAATTCAAAAGAAAATTGGCACTGAATGCTAACGAAGGCCAAACTGTACACAATATCGAAATAACGAACCACATCAATATATTTTCTGTAGGTGTTTGACTGACTTCTTTATTTATTCTTGGATTTAAAGAACATAATTAAACGTGTAGTTAAAGGAATCAATTTTGGTTCCAAAATGTTTATGACGATGACTTCGCCATCGACTCCTCATATGACTCCTCGCGAAATCATAAACGGTTAAAACGTGTTGCATAAATAATAAAATCATTCATTTCTTTATTAAGAATACTAATAAGCTTCATTATTTTTCTGTATGAATACTTTTTATTACAAAACTAGTTGACACACACCATCGTCTGAGTTCATCAAAACGAATAAATTTTCCCCGTTTTGCAACATTTTTCTTTGATACCCTGCTCTTATATGATCGTTGCGTGAGGTTAATGTAGGCCCTTCTCGATAAATGAGCTATTCAACACTAAAAAAAATTGAATTCGAATCAGTTGTTCCTGAGATTAGCGCGTTCAACCAAACAAACAGTTTCTCCAGCTTTATAATATTAAGTTAGATAGTAGTGATCCGGTTATAATGAAATGTAATGAGGCAAATAACGCGTTAGTTAGGTGTTACTTCCAAATTATGTTTAATCATGTTAAAACGAAAAAATATCTGAAAGATTTGAACTAAATATACAAGTTACTCAATGAAACTAATAAACTCTTATTATTTTTTACATCGTTTTTTGTTTTCGACCAAATTTATACTTAAATACGTAGTTGCCAAAGTCTCTATTCATTTAAGTGGCTACCATTGATGCGCTTTTTTCGAACGCATCTTTTCTATGATAGTGATAAAAGTGAGAACAAAGTGACTACGTCAATGCTCTGAAATACTTTGGTAACAGTATATAATTGAATAAACAGGTAACATAGTTGAACAGTATAAGGTACTAAAAGGACTAAATGATTTACTGCGTGTTTGAGGTCATGGAGGCTTGAAATGAACTTTAATAAATAGAAACCTAAGGTAGAGTAGAAGAATAGTAATAAACTCACACACGGCCGTCTGATCCTAAACTAGGCAGGGCCTGCGATATGACAACCTGACTGCTGATAAACTTCTTCCTCCTCCTACGAGCCTTTTTCCAAAAAAAGGTTTGGGTCGGCTTTAGGCCTCACAGCTGAACTACGATTTTTCCATCAGACCTCCACAATCCAAATACTAGGCGAAGTTCTGTGAAGCGATTGCCACAGATATTCAAATGGTAACCAGGACCGACGGCTTAACGTGCTCTCTGATGCACGGAGGGGTCTCAATATCTTGATACTGGTCACCCATCCATAGACTGACCTGGCTATGGTTGCTTAACTTTATAATCTGTTAAACTACTCGGTTACCACGGTTTATATTTCTATATTCATACATATTAAAGATAAATTACACCCAGACAATTATTTGTCCTGTGTGGGCATCGAACACACTAACCACTAGACCAACAGGACAGTCCAGTGGATATACCTACTATGTAAGGCAGTTAGGTTCGTAAAGTTTATTTTATATTAAAACACAGACGTATCATTTAACGC